ATTTATAAGAGCAACACTGTAAAATCCAAAACAGCAAATTGCGTTGAATTATATTTCATCTACCACATCAGCAAAGAGATGAAGATTTTTTTAAAGTACACTTAGTGGGCTGGGGAGATGGCTCATAGAAAGCAGGAAAACCTCAATAAGATCCCCAAAAGTCCCATAAAAAAGTGAAGCGCTGAAGCAGACACCTGTAACCCCAATAACTAGGAAGCAAGAGACAGCTGGGGCCTTAGTACTAAATATCTAACTCAGTTGCCCGGCTGCATGCTTAGTGAGAGCCCCTGTCTCGCAAAATAAGTTGAAAGTAATTGCAGACACCTGGTGTCAACTTCTGGCCACATGAACATGGACACCCATACACATGCACCTAACCATACATGTGTACACATTTAAGATCGTGCACCCACACACATAGTCAATAATGATTCATGGAGCGTCATACATTGCTAAAACTTGTTCCAAAACTACACAGGAATAGTCTGCCCATGTCTTCCACAATTCCAACTGTATATGCAATTTGTCATTGAAACTCCACCTCTAGGAACATATCTTATAGGCAGGCTAACAGATGTGCAGAGTATTCATAGTGTTTGTATATCACACTATTGGAAACAGCATCAACAGGAGACTGGGTAAGTACTTCATGCTACACTCATTCAGCAGACAATTGTTCAGCTGAAAAATAAAACGAAGGAGCTCCTCATGAAATGATATAAATCAATCTACATTTCCAAGTAAAAATTTGCAAACTCAAAATACTCCTCAGACTTTTGTTGATGCCAACACGTCCTAAAAGCACAGAATATTTTCCCAAAGCATCCTACAAGCAACTTGTAACACTGTCCAGGGGCTATCAAAGGAAACAGTTTGTACTCTGAAGGAAGTACTTCCACAAGATGGTGCTATAGCTTCCACCAAGAACAAAACCCATGTTTCCTTCAGAAGGTGGTATACAGAAAGTCTTTCTGATGGGAGACACAATCTGTGTGTGTTCCGGTGAGTCCACCAAAGAAACACAGTGGGTCAACATATCCTGACATAGGTTGACTTGGGCCTGCAGAGTGAAGACTGTACCAGGTAAATGCTTCCTACCACCTCCATTCATGCCTGAATTAATGGGGAGTCTTCGTGTATGCCATAATCCCAGGCTTCTGAGCTCTCCTTTCCTAGTTGCTACCCTCACAGGTTAGGGCTATGTGAGGCAGGGTGGGACCCCGTTCTGAGGAGTTGCTGAGTGCTCCTGGAAATGTAAGCAATGGAAACAACTCCCACATGCACCCACACTTTCCACACAACACAACCCAAGGACCTCTAATAGACAGAGCCTTTCCTTGCCATCCCAGCCCACAATGATCATACTTTCCTCAGATGTTCTGTGCTGCAAAGTTTTCGCCCTGTTTGGGTTTATCAAGGGTTGCTTTAGACTATTTCGAGATTTCCATTTAAATGTTCCAAGTTCTTTCAAGGCAAGGACCCTGTGATAATGATCTATTGTGTATCCTTGAGCAATAAGCATCCTAGCACCAAGTTATGCGTAGTAATGGGACCAGCAATGCCCACAGTCAGAAATATGTGTTCCTTAATCTGCAGTAGTTGGGGTGACTGGAAGAGAATAGCCCCAGTTGGTCACTTTCTAAGCCTAGAAATGTGATTTATAGATCATACCTTCTTTGGGCTGTTTGATGATCTGTAGACAGCCAGAACTGAGCTCCCTTAACTCTGTGGCTATTGAATTTGCTTTTTAATAGTTTGCTTCCATCAGTATCTTTAGAATTCTCTCTTTGAGAGAGCCACCAAGGCAAGAATAATTATATCATAAGGGAGAATGTTTCTCTTGAGGAAAATGGCATCATCGATTCTGATCTTCACTCTTGGCTCTCCTCTCTTCTGTCTCGTTCCTCTGTGCTGTGAGAATCATCAGCATTGACACAGGTGCCTGCAATTGTCTCTTTCCACTTCTTTACTCTCACAGAAACAGGAGAGAGCAATGAGCAAAGAGGCCTGAGGGCCCAGGGTACTCTGCGCCCAGTCTCACAAGTAGTAGAAGAATCTCGTGTGTTTTGGAAAGAATGGGAGAGTAGGAATTAGGGTGGAAAAGAGGTCTTTTGTACTAGGTGAAATCCCTGGGGGCTGTGACAGAAAAAGACGACCCTCCAGGCATAGACAACCGGGGCCTAGCGATAAGGAATAGGCTAGCAATTTTGTATTGGTAAAAAGGCAGGGTTAGAGCAGTAGGAACAAAAACCAAGATTGTTTCCATTTTCGAAATAAATAGCATATAATTAACAGCCTGTGTTCTGTGTTGTATCCACCACAAAAAGAGGGAACAGAAAGGGAACTCAATAAGTGATATGATGAGGTGGACAAAACAAAAGACAGGCTCCTAGCTTATCCCAACTAGAAGGAAAAAGAGAGATTTGTATAAAAATAGCATTTGGCTTTATACTTCCACAATAAAAACTGCTGGAGCCCTCCCCTCCCCTTTCTACCAAATGTTTAAGTTACTATAAACATCTCCATATGTATGTCCTTCTCCTACAGGAAAAAATATGACTCATAAGCATGTTTACAAAGCTACATATAGATATGATAAAATTATGAAGAGATAGGAAAATAGGGAAAATAAGAATAGAAACTGTGAGTTCACAACACATGTGACAGCCCCCTGGGGAAATCAATTCCAGGAACCTCTGGATGCCAAATTCCTCAGAGACCAAAACCCTTTATATAAAACAGTACTACTTTAGTTAATTACATACAACATGCAGACACCCTTTCATGTACTTTAAACCATCTTCAGATTACCTGTGATGCTAAATGCAATGTAAGTGCACTATAATGTGTAGAATGCAAATTATTGAGGATTATTGTCTATTTTTTAAGATAGGGTCTCGGGGGCTGGAGAGATAGCTCAGGGGTTAAGAGCACTGGCTGTTCTTCCAGAGATTCTGAGTTCAATTCCCAGCAATCACATGGTAGCTCACAACCATCTGTAATGTGATCTGGTGCCCTCTTCTGTCACGCACTATATACATGATAAATAAATAAATAAATAAATAAATAAATAAATAAATAAATAAGATAAATAAATAAATCTTTAAGATAGGGTCTCACTGTGTAGATAAGGCTGACCTTGAACTCACAGAGATCTGCCCACCTGTGCCTCCTGAATACTGGGATTAAAGTTGTGTGCCACCCCTCCTAGCTTGCAAATACTTATTATTACACTATGTCTTTCTGTTAATGTCAGGCAAAGCAATCTCTATTTCTTCAGTACAGACAAATAAGCCTGTAGATACAGGGGACTGGCTGTTCTTCCAACATATCTCTGAAAGGTGATTACAACTTTCCTACTGAATTCTATTTTCCAATTCAGACTGAAAATGAGTGTTGTGACTTTCCTAGGACTAGTCTTTCTGTTTCTTTAGTACCTCCCCTAATTTGTCATCAAGATTCAATCTTTACAACCCTCTGTCTTGGAAAAAAGGAAGCACTATCTCAAGGTTAGATGTCAGTCAAGATTCATGCTTTCCCACTCAACATCACTAATTCCCAGGACTCACGTCCGGTCAGGATTTCTACCATCTTTAGCCTTGAATGTGACTAGAGTTGGAGTTTCCCTCAGAGATTCGAGGCTAGCTACTGTCATCTTTATTGAATATTCTTAACATGTGTGCTCTAAGTGTTATGATAAAAGCTTGACTAGGACCTTGGCAGTTTCCATGGCAGGTGGGTTTGACCTAGGCAGGGGACAAACATACCAGCAGACAGAGCTTAGTGAGAAGTTACAAAGGGTAGGGAAGGGGGAAGGAAACAAACAGAAAAGAGGTGAAAAGGTAAAGAGACACAGAGACAGAGAGAACAGAAGAGAAAAGGGAGCGCCTAAGTGGGCAGAAGTCTTTCTTTTAAAGGGGTCCTTTGCACCTGGGCTGACCAGGGTACTTACTGTCCCAGTGCATTCTGCCAGGTGACGGGGCAGGACAGCATAATGCCTGAATCCTTACACTAAGGATTCCTTTGTTTCATTATAAACCAAAGTGACAGATTTTTCTCAGTATGCAGTGAGCAGAAGAAGGAAACCCCAGTCTCTGTGATAATCAGCACCCCAAGTGAAACAGAAATGGAATATGAGCAAGACAGAAGAGACTCGTTCCACTTAAAGTGGTTGTTCACTCACTCACCTGGATGTTTGTCTTTAAGATTTAAGCAGAATTGTAATTTTCTTTTAAGTTTTTATTACAGTATGTTGATCATATAAAGCAATGGGTTTCCTGACAGTTTCACCAAATATCATGGACTTGGATCAGAGTCGCCCCTGTTAACCCTCTTGTTCCTTCACCCACCCCTTCCTCTTCCCTTCCCCTCCCCTAATAGATGCCTTCTGTTTCCATGTCACATATGACAAACAGATTTTATGTATGGACTCACAAATAAAAACAGGCTAAGGATTTGTGTAAGACATCTTCTTAAGTTCTCTGTCCTACAACTAGCTCAGTATACTAGGCTGGTCTCAAACCCACAGAGATCCATCTGCATCTGCCTCCAGAGCACCACCACCCAGAAACAAGTGAAGTCTTAAAGTCAATGTGAAGACTTTAGGTGGGGCATTGAGGAAATTACTGAATTTAGGTGAGGTCATAAGAGCAGGGCCTTCAGGATAGGAAGAGGAAGAGTCAACAGAGCCTATTCTCTTTACAGAATACAAGAGATTAGCCAACTGCCAGTTGGAAGAGAGTCCTTATTGGACCCAAATCTTTGGCACCTGATATAGGACATACCAACATCCCAAGCTGTGAAGTCAGCATCTGTTGTTTAAATTATCGCATTTGGAGTGTTTTGTTACAGCAGCCCAGGGTGACTGACACAAATGAATTCTCACAGCACCACCATAACTAAACAAGTATGGATACACACAGCTTTTTGTTTTCTACATGAACAGAAAGATCAGCACCGTGTCTAGAATCACATGATCAGCAATAGAGCAAAACTTTAAATCTTTCTAGGGTGAATTTACTCATTTATTTAATAAAGCATTAATTGATGACCCACTTTAAGACGAAATTCACACTGGGCCATGGTGTCACACACCTTTAATGCCAGCACTCAGCTTTACAAGATTGTCTCTCACAATCTTCCTGTCCCCAGTTGTTCAATGTTCCTTTGGACTTAGGTACAGCAATTGTGCTGTGATGTATCAGTTGAGACTGGGCTTCACACCTCTGTTGTTTTGCTGTAGTGGTCTCTGCTGCAAAGAGAAGTTTCCTTGACACAGGGTAAGAATTGTACTTTCTCTGTGGGAATAAGGATAAATATTTAGAATGCAGATAGGGATTATGCTGGTTTAGTTAAGTGGAGGTTATAAATTCTCATTGAAGATACAAACTTGAGAAGCCTTGGGTAGTTGGTTAGGTTTCCAGGGCCAGGCATGATTTCCCTCTTGTTGAGTGGGTCTTAAGACCCAATTAGAGAGTTGTTGATTACTGCCAAGATATGCTTGCCATATCCTGCACCCTTGGATGTCATTGTGGCTTTGGGGCACTATATATATCTAGGTAAAACTATTGGTTGCTTCCCTCCTTTGAAAGCTTGTATAATGTTTCTGGTACCATGAAAGCTCTAGGAGGAGGCATTTAGATCAGTTCCAGTTCTGGTACTCTGAGCCCTAGATCTGAAGTGTATGGTGCCTTCAGTAATAGGGACTTACTTTACACCCCTGGAGGATAAGGGCAATAACAAAGGCCTATAATGTTTGAGGAGTCTCTTGAACAACCAGGACCATCAACTCAAAAGAGGGATTTTTGTTAGATAGTGTCTTAGGGTTTCTATTGCTGTGAAGAGATACCATGACCATGTCACTCTTTTTTTCTTTTCTTTTCTTTTCCTTTTTTATGACACAGGGTTTCTGTGTGTATGCCTGGCTGTCCTGGAACTCACTCTATAGACCAGGCTGTTCTCGAACTCAGAGTTTCACGTGCCTCTGCCTCCTGAGTGATGGGATTTAAGGCATGTGCCACCATTACCAAGCTGACCCTGCCGACTCTTATAAAGAAAAACATTTAACTAGGGCTGGCTTACAGTTTCAGAGGTTTAGTCCATTATCATCATGGCAGGAAGCATGGCAACACAGAGGCGGACATGGTGTTAGAGAAGAAGCTGAGGTTCTAAATCTTGATCTGCAGGAAGAAGACTATATGTCACACTGGGCGTAGCTTGAGCATAGGAGACCTCAAAGCCCATCCTCACAGTGGCTCACTTCCTCCAACAAGGCCACACCTCCTAATAGTGCATAAACACCGGAGTCTATGGGGGCCATACCTATTCAAACAACACAGATAGTCTATGGCTCAAGGAGGAGCACTCTCAGCTGAGATGAGAAAATTTTACTGAACTGTGTGTCCTAATTCACATGAATATATATATATATATAGCATAATTCCTTATGACTTTTTCAAACCTATTTACTGTTATTACTCTCCTCCCTCCTCCCTCTGTTTACTATTTACTTCTCTTCCTCCTCCTTAATAAAGCACTGCTCCATCAGTCATATATCTTTTGTTGTTGTTGTTCTTTGTTTTGTTTTGTTTTTTTGAGAAAGCCTCAGAGGAAGACTGGGAAGGAAGGCAGGACCTAGGCTCAGAAAGCCTTTACCTTGCACTCGGTACAGTTCCTCTTAAGTGGGTGATTACATATTTACACACTGTCATTCCTTTCTGTGTTGTTTCTGCATTTGTTAGAGTTTAAAAAAAAAGAATATCTACATCTGCACCCAACCTCACTCTAGGCCTAAGTGTAGCTAGGACTTCTAATTTCCCTGTTCCTCTTAGAGCCTCAAAACTGGATCATCACTGGCTAACAAAGGTTTGCGTCACTGTTGGGAGAAAGTGAAGCTCCTGAGGACAAGCAATCCCACAGGTAGGTACTTCAGGAAGCACCAGAGCTGTGAGGACACGTGAGTCAAGCTTTCAGAGTCAACACTATTCTAGCAGCTAGGCATCCCTAGGTGTGTGTGTGTGTGTGTGTGTGTGTGTGTGTGTGTGTGTGAGTGTGTGTGTGTGTGTGTGAGTGTGTGTGTGTGTGTGTGAGTGTGTGTGTGTGTGTGTGAGTGTGTGTGTGTGTGTGTGAGTGTGTGTGTGTGTGTGTGAGTGTGTGTGTGTGTGTGTGAGTGTGTGTGTGTGTGTGTGAGTGTGTGTGTGTGTGTGTGAGTGTGTGTGTGTGTGTGTGAGTGTGTGTGTGTGTGTGTGAGTGTGTGTGTGTGTGTGTGAGTGTGTGTGTGTGTGTGTGAGTGTGTGTGTGTGTGTGTGAGTGTGTGTGTGTGTGTGTGAGTGTGTGTGTGTGTGTGTGAGTGTGTGTGTGTGTGTGTGAGTGTGTGTGTGTGTGTGTGAGTGTGTGTGTGTGTGTGTGTGTGTGTGTGTGTGTGCGCGCGCGCCAGAGGTGTGTTATGGGAGGAGCCAACTGCCAAAAACAAAAAAGCTATGCTCAAGAGATGTTTTAGAGGAGCACAGGAAGAGGGGCCAGCTAAGACGAGATGAGGTACCTTGGGAATTAAATACACCCAAGAAGACCGTTATGTGAAGGAGTAGACTGCCTCCCTGGTCTTTGTTTTTCTGTAACCGTTGGAAGTGGTCATGACGCTCTTGTGTATGTAAAAGTATCAAAGGAGGCTACTCACCCATGCATTGTAACATTTTATGTATCCTCATATATACTATTTGTCATATTTGTTATTTATTCAACAAACATTCACTGGCTAACTTGCTACATGATTGTTTTCCAACACTAGGAATATGAAGAGACAGGACACAATCTCTGCACTTAAGATCCTTAATTCCTCAGTGCAGCAGTATGGGAGCTGGGGCCTAAAAGACGTTTCATTCATGGAGACACAGGCTTCTGCACAGATTAATACCTTTCTTGCTTGTCACAAAGGCTTTAACTTGTGTTCTCCCTCTTCTCAACCCCTACCATGCACCAAAACAGTATAAGGCCCTTTGTTGGTGCTGGCACTTGGAGGTGCCTCCATGTTTGGAAGCCAAATTGAACCTCTTTTTTTTAACATGAAATATAAATGACGCAGAGGTTCAAGCTGAAGATTGGGAAAGCAAAGCAGCAAGCCACTAGCTCTCACCTCTAGCTCAGGCTGAAAAGGCTGATCCATGCTTGAGCTCTTCACCAAGCCTCAGACTGCTGCCTTATCTCAGTGTGGCTGGAGAATGAATGCCACTATAGAATCCTCATACTAACTTATATACCTCTCATGAGTCCTGGGATTGAAGGCGTGAGCTATAATTCTCTTTTAGACTGATTCAATCTTGTGTAGATCTGGGTGGCCTTGGACTCACAGAGATCTGTCTACCTCTTAATCCTGAGTCCTAGGATTAAAGGTGTGTACCACCACCTCCTAGCTTCTGGCTGCTGGGGTTAAAGGTGTGTGCCACCACTGCCTGGTCTCCATAGCTTGAGGCTGACTTTGCTTTTCTGAATCCTCAGTCAAGCTTTGATAAATTATAAATAATACATCACTACATCCTTCCTTTACAAAGAACTCAGCAGCAGGAAACAGACAAAGACATATGTGCCTCTTTCACAGGACACATTTCAAGAACCACAAGCCTCCACAGACCAGGGGAGTATGGGTGTTAATGTATTTACCTTCCTAGCAATATCATAGTAGTGTTTGTCTTTCTCAATCTGGCTTATCTTGCTTAACATGATCTCCAGTTCCATTCATTCGCCTTAAAATGCCATCCTTTCATTTTCCTTTACTACTGACTAAACTTCTAGTGTGTATATATACATTTTTCTCTATCCAGTCATTCTTTTTTTTTTAATTTTTGAAAAAAATTACACATAGATGCCTAGAGGTTTTCGAGGCTAGAAGCCACTGAATCTCCTGGAACTGGAGTTCCATAACTGAACCCAGGCCCTCTGGAAGAGTCCCCAGCGCTCTTAAAGACTGAGCCATCTCTCCAGCCCCTATCCATGGATTTCTTGATCGACATCTAGGCTAGCCCTATTTTTTAGCTATTGTGACTGGTGCAGCAGAAAACATGGGTATGTGAATACCTCTGTGGTATATTGCCTTTCAGACCTGCAGGTGTATGTCTGGAAGTACAGTTGGGTTGTGTGGTAATTCCATTTTTAGTTTTATAAGAAGCCGCCATACTGATATCCAGAGTAGCTGTGCCAACAAATATGAGAGTTCCACTTTTCCTATATTCTTGCCCAGCATTGTTGTCTCTTTTCTTGATGATAGTCATCCTTGCAGTCACATGGCATCTCAAAGCAGTTTTAATCAGCATTTCCCTGAGGGTAAAGGATGTTCAACAATTTTTCAAATATTTACCAGCTATTTGTAATCCTTCCTTTGAGAAGGAATTTCTAAACAGCCCATTTACTAACTGGATGATTTGGTATTGAGGGTTTAATCCTTACAGTTCTTCACGTATTCTGGATATTAATTCCTTGCCTGACATATAATTGGCCAAGAATCTTTCCAATCCTAAGTTCTCTTTTGATTCGGTGGCTGTCTCCTTTGTAGTGCAAACACTTTTTCTTGTGATGCCATTTGTAAGCTCTCGGGATGATTTCCCGTGCTACCTGAGTCATTTGCTGGGGTCCCCTGACTATATCTCCCTTTGCTTCCTCTTTATTTTCTTCCAGAAGATTCCATTTCTGTTCTTTAATCAGTGTTGAATTAACTTTTGTATAGGGGAGAGAATGAGCTCTACTTTCATTCTTCTGCATGTGGGTATCCAGTCTGCCCAGCATCATGTTCAAGGGGCTCTCCCCCACCCTGTGTTCCTGACAACTTTTATAAAACAATACTGGCTATAAGTGTTTGGCTTGACTTTGGGGCCTTCATCCTACCCCATCAGCCTACTGTGAGCAAACTATTGTATTTTTCCCATAGTCAACTTTTCGCTCTGAATTTATCATTTGCCTTCAAGAAGCATCATCCTGACCCTTAATTCCCTTTCCTCTCTTGCTTGCTCTTCCTCCAGCATTGGTTCCAGGTGTCATCTACTTTACCCACAGATGGTCATTTGCAACAAGATATCAACCACACCATTCAATGGGCTTCCCCGGTATCTCCATTTCATTACCCATTCCAATCTATTCTCCACATTCCAACAAGAGTGGCTTTTTCTTGACATCTAATCTGATCACATTGTGACCTAAACTCGATGGAATGAATGGCCACAGGCCTTCCTGGATGTGGTTGCCTGACCACCACTCCCAAACATTTCTCCATTATTTCACCATTCCTTTAGCTAAACCTGCACTATATTGCACTTCCCTGATGAGAAGATACCCAGGCTTCTCTAATTATACGTCCTATTTTCAATGTTCATCTGCCTTTGCTGTATCTTCTTTTACAAATAAAGAATCACTTTCTATAATACCTCTGATAAAATATAGTCACCTACCAGGTCACCTCTGCTCTCCCCACAGTGAAGTTTACTCTCCTTTATGCACCCACAGTTGGCTATCATTGTCTGTTGTCTGTTGTCTGTTACTTTGATGTGACGGGAAGCTCCTTGGAAACAGAGGCCTGATCTTTGTATATCTGGTGTCTGTGAATACACACAGAGCAAAGGATGATGGGAACAAATGAAGGTGTTAATTAGTACCTGTGCCTCGGATAGCACTGAGTTGAGTAAGTGCCAGTGTGGGAAGATTGAGAAAACAAATAAGTGGAAACCAAAATGAGAAAAGGAAAAAAAATATGTTCATCAAATTATTAACAAAATAGCTAAGAACCATAGTGGCCAAGTTAGGATGGATTTAAAGGTCAGAGACAAAAGGACCACAGTCACCCAAATGAAGAAGTTCACTCAAACTCCAGTCCAAAGTGTTTAAAGGTAGAGTATACAAACAGGCAAAAAGCAAAGGCAGGAGTGAGCAGCATTCAAGGAGCTGACACAGGACAGGCAGGAATCTGGAGCTGCCCAACAGGGAACACCAGGTGAATGTCTTCGAGGCGATGGCGACTAGTGCATTCCTACTGCAAAACAATTTAGCCTTCACATGTAGAACTACGTAAGGAAGTTCCTTGTTGCTTTCCTCACTCTAACTGGATTTCAGAGGCACTTTCTCTGACTGAAGTGACCTCAAACTCCAGAGCCTGTGTTTATCCTTCTGCACCAAATACAGCTCTAATTTAACAATAACTTTATTCCAAATCCATTTTCTTCTTATCTTGCTACTATAAATTCATTCCCATTTCATATGCATCACTGTCAGGTCCTCTTAGAGATTAGAAAAGGAAAATAACCCATATCCAGCACCTTCACCATATAGCGAGCTTGTACAAGGGATTTCCCTATATCCCTTCTTGAGTTGCCATAGCAACCCAGTGAGGTGCTACTATTAATGACTACAGGCAAGAACATATAGAAACACTGAAGTAAAGCACCAGAAAGTTAACATCCCACATTTTCTTGCTAAATGAGTGGCAGCGGTTAACTTTCAAATATTCAAGTGTACATCTGAATGAGCCTGTACCCTATCCTCTTTCCACTGACCATTCCCCCTTTTATCTAAGAGTTTTAGAAGAAGTATGAGCCCAAATAACGTCTCTTTAACTCAGGACAGGATGACAACCCTTACTACAAAGTCCAGGCGCCAAGAAAGGTAGAAGAAAAATATGAATTAAATAATGACACTCAGTCTGCAAGATGAGGAGAGCTAAACTGGTTTTATGTTCAGGGATACTCTGAAGACAGGGGCAGGCTCAAGGAGAGAAAACTCCCTAAGGCATCAGTTCAACTTTTCTACATCCTACTACCTGTGGGAAAGCCAGGTCAACATCGATTCCCCTGCTTAACTTGGGACAGGAGCTGGAGGGCAGAGAAACAAGGGTGGAGACTTACAGAACAAAAATATTGCTCAACAAACGCAAGGAGGTTCCTGCTGTGAGGCCCAGATGGAGAGAAAACAGAGAGCGGACACTGAGGGGAGCCAAGGGCAGCAAAATGAATGTCCTGCTCTCTGTCCATACTGGCTACTCACAGGCAGCATTTCGGAAGCTGTCAAGAGATCAGTAACTTCTACATCAGAAGCTGACAAAACCTGTTCACCAACGAGAGATCAGGACCTTCTGATTGCTGGAGTTCTCTCTCCCAGCAAACTAGGAGTTTCAACTTTTCAGCCAGCTTTAATTTTCCGATTCGTTTCACTCCTTGTTCTTATGCCTTTCCTGGGTTTATGAAGCATGCTGGCCTGCCCTTATATGGCTGAAGCCTAGTCTTGGCATTTCCTGTTACTTCCTGTATATTTCATGACAACTGAGTGTGTCAAAGCTAGCTAAACTGTTTAAAATTTAATCCCTCAAAGGAGCATGACGGAAGGAACTAGGACATTTCTTGAACACAACATTGCTTCAGGACTATCAGAGAGGAGGCCATTCTTGCTCGGTCAAGTTTTATTCCACAGGGCCTCCATACAACTGCTTAGCCTCTTCTGCCAGGTCAGTGGAGCAGCTGACGGACACAGGGACCAGAGAAGTCTACTCACGAAGCTGTTTGACGTTGTGAGCCACAGCTTTCCTGAAAGCAAAACAGCCAAAGAGCCTGTTAATATTCTCCTGGACACACATTACTACAGAATGAATGGGTTTGGGGAGACAGCCTATGCTTAGGAACGGGATAGAGAAAGAGAAAGAAAGAGAGAAGATGTGTGTGTGTGTGTGTGTGTGTGTGTGTGTGTGTGTGTGTGTGTAACAGACCAAAGACACAGGCTTAAGAATTAAACAAACACATACACTCTCAGAATACTGGAAAGAACAGAGAAGGATCATATAAACTGGGACATGGGATCTTGAAATGAACCTAGGAATACGGAGGCAAACAGGATTATCTGCAGAAAAGACATGTTTCAGAGGCACCCAACGAAGGGAGGGACAATAGGAGGAAGCCAGAGGGGCAGAGAGGGAGAGACAGAGACAGAGAGGCACAGACACAGAGACAGGAGAACTTGAGCAAGAGACACCCTTTATCTTATGCCAAACACCAAGGAAGAGAAAATTGCATTACATCCCGAAGGTAAAGACACTAAAGACACACACACACACACACACACACACACACACACACACACA